TTGTGAAAATTTACAAATTTGCACTGTTCAAGTGTTGTCATTGTGTTAAAGAGTAAATGTCATGAATAAATTTGACATTAAACGTAATCCAAGTTGAAGTGTTGCATCATTTTCAGCTCCCTTTTTGGCATTTGGCAGCAGACTAAACTGACAAAGACCGTGCAGAATAATGTGGTATTTCAATTCCACAGCAGAGAAAGCTATCTATGTAAGTAGGTCTAGGAAAAACAATATATGTATTTGTATCAGTTATCGGCCAAATAAGTTTTAACATATCGGATATCGGCAAAAACTCCAATATCGTGCATCGTTTTTTCAGTGTAAAATATACAATTCTTGAAAAATATGCACAGAATCGAATTGTTGAAAAATCCATGAATTTCTTGAACGTTTAAACCTTAATCCTCAAAGTGTTTACAACAGCTAAAAACACTTGTGAACCTTCTGTTTTATGCGTGTGTGTTGTAAATCTCTGAGGAAAGTTTTTCACCTGATTGGGGGGAAAAAAGCAACATCTCCCCATGATTTCTTCATGTGACAGTTCCACATATCTCTGTGTTCGTGTGCTGTGCTTACCACTTATTTGCCTTTGAACTTCCCAAACTTAATAGATTTAGTCTTCTTTACTTCTTTAGGGATGCTACGTCTGTCTTTCCCTTCTGTTGCCTCATTTAATCAACTTACTCTGTGATCTGTTAACAAAAAGCTGCTGTTTTGTTTATTAGCTCTGGGCCAAAGCCTTGTGAAGCCTGTCGACAAGAGGAGATCTACGAAGAACCCATATCTATTCTGAACAGTAACGAGGTGAGTATTAAACTGTTATTTTGGAAACAGAGAACCACCCCATACTCGTTTAAAGAATTACGTAAATCCAGTCTGATCACAGTTTGAGGGGGGTTTCCACCACTGAACAATATCTTGTGAGTACAATTAGTGTCTTTATGTGCTGAACTCTTTGTTCTCCGTCTCCCACCAGGCATTCCCAGATAATGCTGCTGGTCGAGAAATAGCGAGTCTGCCAGCCAGGTGTTTGAACCAGGGATGCAGCTGGACAGGATCTATAAAAGAATATGAGGTGGTTAACTTTAGCTTTTCTTTTCACGTGAGCTCAAAAAGCTAAATTTCCTTCATACAAAACAGCATTTGGTACTTTTTGTGCTGCATGTCGGTGTGACCTTGACGGATGCATCTTTCAGATTCTTATGTCATGGGTCAACAATGTGATTGCTGTTTTCATGCAGTGCTTTGCAGCCAATGTCAGGGAAACAGGAAGTGAAACCAAACATGCGGTCTGGAAAGTCCCTCTGTATTTAACTCGCCTATCACCAGTGGAAAGTACCAGAATGAGAAAAGTTGTTTCATTGTGAGTGGGGAGTTAAACTATAGATCTAATCAAAAACATTTAAAGATAATGAAACTTATCATCTATATGAAATAGAAAGAAAATTAGATTACTGAAATGGTAGAAAAACTCAGATTATAGCAGTCCTGTGTTGCTGAATGAGCACTTCTGTTTTTATTTATACATTAAATGTTGGGCTCATTGTTAAGTTTGTTTATGAAGACATCACAGAGCTACAGCAGTTCTGTGTAATGGGAGTCCGCAGTAAATTTGGTTGTGTTTTACTGGGATTACAATCTCGTTTACAGGTGGAATTATGCGGAAAATATTTAAATGATGTGTTGGCAGGATATCTGTTTAAATGGGGACACTGTTTTGGAGGATGAGAATATTTTGCACGATTTGTAACGAGATCTGTGACGTCCTTGTTTGAACTTCCTCAAAGAAGCATGTGCTGTGGGTCAGAATACGCCACAATTGATTCAAATTGTTTAAAAATGTTTACTTTGCTGTATGATACGCCCATGTTTCTCTGATCACTTTATGTCACCATCGTCTGTAAACGCGCGCTGCTCATAGCTAGCCGTATCCACCCGATTCAAGTTCTTGCTAAACTGAGAAAAAAAAGGGCTAATCATGATGATCGGGTGTAGCCAGCGACTGTTGGAGGATTCAAATAACCTTCAGTTGTGTGGTGCAAGATTTTCCAGTGTAGCAAGTTTAAAAACAAATCATGCAAACTGAAACAACATACCTGAACCTTTCCCTCTGCGGTTCCACGCGGTTGTTAGCGCTCATTGTGAAAGCAAAAAAAAACAACTTCCTGCTCGATAGGCCCCGCCTCTAAAACCTGCCCTTCTCTTTTAGAGGGAGTTTTGAATTGAAAGTCTGAACTTGTTTAGCTCGTTAAACGCTGTAAAGTTTTTTTTCTTTTCCAAGCATTGATCTTTTTAAAGTCTCAGTTCTGCTTTTGTGTTTTTATTTTCCCCCATTTAGGTTACTGGTACATTAATATTATATCAAACGTTACACAGTCCAATGAACGCAGCTGCTTTAAGTCAAATGTTTGAACACCATCGAAATACAAAAAAAAACACTAATTGCTTTGAATAAAGTGAAACCAAAAACCTGTTTTTAATGTAGATGCAAACAATCCCTGTACCGCACCCACAGCCATTCACACATTGTTAAAAAGCTTTTCAAAAACTCACAAAAATATAAAAATATCCGGTTCAATAATCTTCAAAGCATGACTAAAGAACACCATTAGACCTCTCATTATCTCTTGTAAGAGTGAAAGAATAGCAAACATATTTTGTCTGCGTGAGAACGGTTCAACATTAAGTTGCATTTATTTTCTTGTTTCTTTTTCTCAGACTCAACACGAAGGTCGCTGTGAGTTCGAGCGGGTGCAGTGCGAGGCCTGCCAAGCCTCCATCCTCCTGAAGGACAAGGACAGACACAGCGAGCGGGAATGCGAGGAAAGGACTCTGAACTGCAAATACTGCAAAGTGACGTTCAACTTCAAAGACATTAAAGTGAGTGATGCAGGACGGCGTGCAGCGAAGCGCTTGTTGGTTGCGTTGACAGAAACGTGAAATAAGATTCTGCTTTGAAACATTTCAGGCCCACGATGAGATCTGCGTGAAGTTTCCTTTACAATGCAAAGACTGTGGCAAAAAGAAGATCCCAAGAGAAAAGGTTTGAGCTGTTTCACAATTTTTAGTAGATTTTAAATATTTTTAGCTATTGTCGAAGCTATATGTAAACAATACACATAAATATTGGACAGAACAACAAACGTGTCATAAAACTAATACCAAATTCATTAACAAATAGTCAAACTTACTAGGAAATCTAAAAATTCTCCTAACTTAGTTTTTTTTTTTACTATAAGGCGCATTAAGCGAAACAAAACAGATAAGTCAAACTTTATTCAACTCATTCACAGTAACTCAACATTGTTCGGTTGTACCAGTTCGAGGTCAATAAGCACAACCAGAATGAATACACAAGGTTCACGGTGGATTTTTGAGAAAATTTAAATGTGCCTTATAGTCCGAGAAATACGGTAGTCAGTTTCTTTCTGATGAAGTGTCTTGCTGACGCTCTTTCACTATCATTTTGAGTTGATGCTTCTTGAACTCTAAAACTTTCTTTTTGTCCACTTCACTTTCAGTTCGGTGAGCACATGAAGTCCTGCCCCAAGTCCAAGAGCTCCTGTCCGTTCAGTGACGTGGGCTGCAAGTCTGTGGTATGTTCAACAAGAGAATACAAATAATTACGTGTTTGCTGTGGAAGTTTTACACAACAATTGGAAAACTTTACTTTTTTTTTGTGAGTATTTTTCAAGTACTGTTTGAAAACTTTTTTTTGACCACTGTGCACGTGGCGGTTATTAATTTACAGTGGGCGGGGCACAGTTTGAAAAACATGTGATGTCATGTGTGCAAACACCAATCAGAGTTTAGAAAGAGTTTAAATCAAAACACAACTCTGCAAACGGTTTTAACCACTCCTAATGGTGTAATTAGCTTCCAGGAAGCCAGACCCTGGTCATTTTTTTTAAACTGCTTGTGATTAATTGTTCTTTGGGCATTAAAAAAAAAAAGACTTTCAGTGTGTGTTTTTTTGTTTGTTTTTTTTCCTTTGAACTTGGGCTTCTTTAAAATTAAAATAAATAAATAAGTTTTAAAAAAAAAAAGCTGCTAAAGTCTAAAGAAAAAACTTTGAAAGACCCTCAGAAAGCACGAAAGACTAATAATCAAGACCGTTTTAAAATATTACAAGAATGTCTGGCTTCTTTAAATCACATTAGAAGAAATGTTGTTTATTTGTCGTACGCAGGTTAACACAAGGTCAACACAAGGTCAACAATGCAATGTAATGTTCAGGATGAGAAGAACCGATTAAAAAAAAACAAAAAAAAAAAAAAAAGAAATACTAAAGCATGCAATAAGGGTACAAAATAAACTACCAAAAAGTGAGAAATAAATGTATTTACAAGGTCCAAAAGAAATATCGTAAACAACAACATGATGGAATATAACAGAGCAAGTAGGATGAATTGGTATAAATATCACAGGTAGCTTAAATTAGATAAATAATGAATGACTCAAGACTTTTGCACCATATGGCATGTTGCTGATTGAAATGTCATGATGTTCTCTTGCTTGATACTAAAAAAAAACCTCACAATGGTACAGTTTCAGTGAAGCTGATTAGCTGGAAGTTAAACTTAACATACCTTATTTTTTTGGATTATAAGGCGCATTAAGCGAAACAAAACAGATAAGTAAAACTTTATTCAGCTCATTCACAGTAATCGCATAAAATCGGTTCGAGGTCAGTAAGCACAGCCAGGATTCATACATAAGGCTCACTGTCGATTTTTGAGAAACATTAAAGGATTTTAAGTGTGCCTTTATAGTCTGAAAAATATGTTGCATAAAATGGTGTTTTTTGATGCACCAGACTTGTAGAACAGTTCTTTATTTAACTTTATACCAGATCCTTTAGAACATTTAAATACTGTTTGCAAACATAATTTGTGGCCTGTTTCCAGATAATAATATTACAGTAGTCCCTCTCTACTTCACGGTTCGTTTATTGCAGATTCACTCTACCACGGTTTTTCAAAATAAGATTGGACATGATCAACCAACTGATGGATGAGCCACACAAATGGCATGTAATTTTTATTTAAAATAAATTATTTTAAATTATTTTGCACCTTTGTGCAGCCCTTACTGCAGGATAAACTTCCTCCTGCAGCTGATTAGCTGTTGTCCATGTAGAGCTGAGAAGTGGGCGTGGCCAAGAGCGCTTGCAGGTGGCAAAGAGCCGACGAGGCGAGGCTGAAATCATGACGTGCTCTTTTAGAGCGTTTAGAAACATTGTTTAGAATGTTGCAAGAGTGTGGGAAGGGTTTAAAACACAATAAACTACTACTTACTACTTGTAATATTCCTACTTTGTGGTTTTTCACTTATCGCTGGGCTTCAGGGTGCGGATCCCTCGCTACAAACGAGGGACTACTGTATTTTCTTTCATAGTATCAAAGCATAATTTGGGAAAATTAAAAAAAAAACTTTTACATTTTGTTTGGTTGATATTTTATTGGTTATGATGGCTAAATGTCTTTCTTGGTTATTAAATAGAACAAAACATGGCCTGTTTACTTGACTGAGCTGCTTTTAAGAGATTTTTTTCATTAAATTTTTTTTCTCAGATTGAGAACGGGAAAATTATTGAACATGAGCACAGCAGCACCATGGAGCACTTGCGTCTGCTGCTGCCTATGGTTCTGTCCATGACCTCTACTCGCCCAGAGACTTCTGGATCTGGAGAGTGGCAGGAAGACTCGGGTCTGGGTCTGTACAGAGCTCCTGATGAGGGGAGTGGGGCTGCAGCCCCCACACACTCTGTGGACCTGGAGAAAAAAGTGAGCCTCTTTTCTGTGTTACTCACTGCTGATATTAGAGTTTCACGTTTAGTCATAAACGTTCCTGTTCTCCGACAGGTGGGCGCTTTGGAGAACATCGTGTGCGTCCTGAACCGAGAAGTGGAGCGCAGCTCCGTCACTCTGGAGGCTTTTGCCCACCAGCATCGTTTAGACCAGGAAAAGATAGAAAACCTGTCAAACAGAGTGCGGCAGCTCGAGCGGACGGTGACCATGAGAGACTTGCAGCTGTCTGAAACCGAACAGCTGCTGCGGGAGCTGCAGCACTGCACCTACGACGGTGTGTTTGTGTGGAAAATCACGGACTTCTCACGCCGCAGGCAGGACGCCGTGGCGAGTCGAGCGCCTGCTATGTTCTCACCAGGTAAAATGAGACAGAATCACCTCGCTTTTGAGTTTTAAAGGTGATGATTGTGTAAGTGGGGTATCAATGACCTCAGCAAAAGAATATGAGAGAATCTGATCGCGTTTGGGGAGTGTGGTTAGTATGATGTTACAACTTGGCGTGCAGCGCAGGGAGATTCCAGTCCAGCTCAGTGTTGTTCTTTTGGGTGTGTACATGTCACGTCTATATTTAACAGGGTTTTGTTTTTATTATATCTTTCATTTTTGCTTCTTTTGCAGCATTTTACTCTAGTAAGTATGGCTACAAAATGTGTCTCAGGCTGTATCTGAACGGCGATGGGACAGGACGGGGCACACACCTGTCGCTGTTCTTCGTGGTCATGAGGGGCAAATGTGATGCTCTGCTGAAATGGCCCTTCAGTCAGAAGGTACTAAAATTTACCATCGGCGTTGATCCACAGAGCGAACGTTGAAAACGAGCTCATATTTCCTCCTTCCTCTGTTCTCGTCTTAGGTGACGCTCATGCTCCTGGATCAGAACAACAGGGAGCACATTATCGATGCGTTCCGCCCCGACGTCACCTCCACCTCCTTCCAGCGGCCGATCAGTGAGATGAACATCGCCAGCGGCTGCCCTCTCTTCTGTCCTCTGCCTAAACTGGCTGGCAAGAGCCCTTATCTGAGAGATGACACCATATTCATCAAAGCTATTGTAGACCTCACAGGCTTATAGGGTGCAAACTGTGGAAGTTGCACCAAAATATTGAAACATTTACTAAAAACCTGAATATTTAATAGATTTATTCACATATATAAGCAAAGATAAGATTGCTATAGTAGTAAACTAAAGTAATACATTATACGACTATATAAATATATATATAATTGTTTAAAATAATATGAACCATTTTGGTTCGCAGCTATGTCACTCTTGTGAGAACTGAGATAAACAATAACTATAACTTATTATAAAATATAATTTTATACAGTTACAATTAATATAAGAACCTAGCTGTGCTTTATGTTGTTTTTCCCGTGTGAAAACAAAAAGCAAGTGCTTTACTTTTTCATAAAGCTACAAGTTAATTCCGTTTAAACATGAAGACGTCGCTTAAAGAGTGCAAATAAAAAAAAAAATATTTTCAACAAATAAATCTGCTAATTGTTTTATTGTTTAAAAAAAAAAAAAAAGTATTCCACAAAAACCCACAATTTGGTGAAATTGTTCACTTTTATAAATGAGTGAGTTTACGACGGCATCTGCTGCACGTTATTAATCAAAAGCTTCATTATCAGGAGCTGAACTGACCAAACTTATAAAAAAAAACATAACTCCGATTTGTCCCGTTTTTTATTTAAAAGACAGAAGCAGACTAGGCTTATTTATAAACACACAAATTATCCTTTAAAACTTTATTACTGCACTAAAATTAACGCACTGTGGAAAGTTTATAATTTACCATAGTCGATTATAATAAAATACTGTGTTCAGTTAAATTACTGTATTCATTATTATACAAACTATATGATGTATATTCACCTCCATGTAACGTGTGTTTTTATTTATTTAAATACAAACATGTTAGTGTGAAATGTAGAACGCAGTCATTTGGTTTAATATTGACCATCAGTATGAGATGCTTTTAATTATCTATAAATATATAACTAATGCAAGTTTAAAAAGTTTTTATTAATGTCGGGAGCTTTTAGTGTCTGTTTTAAATAAAACGTTAAAAACATGACAGTTCTGAGTTTGAAACATTTGTAATAATTATCAGATTCAGTTTAATTATTAATCATTTTGCTTTAAAATCTATTAAAAGCATACATTTTAAATATTTCTGGCGTGTTTGTTTCTTTACCAACTTTTGGCATTTTTAGTTTGAACAAATGATCAATTAAACAAACAGTAGTGTCGGTTAACGATTTGGTTTATGATGATTCGTACTGAACTTCCTCACATCTTATTAACTACTTATTAATAAGTATTAGTGCCGATTTTAAATCACCCTGGGATCTGCTTCCATGACATTTCTCAGCCACTTGTGAATGAGATCATTCCCCTCCATGGTCCTTGCATCTTGTAGCTCAGTACGATGATTTTATTTTAGGATGTTTCCTTGATAAGCTTTAACACTTTGCAGTAAATGAAAGTGCATCCTCTTGCACAGGAACTTGATAAAGTGAGTAAACGCCACATCACTGTGTCAACACGTTGGTTGATTGCTAAGTGTTTGCTTGTACCTTGAACACGGTGTACTGTTCCATTGCTTCATTACTGCAGAAATGCATGCTGGGGGAATACCCAACTGTGACACATAACCAGTTTTACTCATGCTGTAAATTTAATGCTTTTATGAAGTGATCGTATCTCGAAACCCCGTTACAATGGTCTTCGATTCGAATTCAAAGGTCAACCTAAAAGTTTTCTTCACTCCCCGTACGGTCTTTTCAGGCCTGCTGTGCGCTGGAAGCTTCTCTAAAGAGAGTGATTGTAAGTCAGAGGTGGGAATTACTGTAAAGTTGCACCACCGAAAATTAATTGCAGTACTGTAATTGGGAGGGAGCTGTGGGCTTAAAATAAATTACCATAAAACTGCACAATTAAAAGAATAATTATAATAAATTTGCTTTCTTATGTTAGTTATTCCATTCTACTGAAAGGGTCCAGATCTGGACTTTGGGACCCCTAACGTATTAGATATGAATTTACTTTTTAATAAAATAACCTGAAAATTTGAGTTTAGGCTTCGATTCATTTATTACAGACAAGTTATCCTGATGTCTCAGATTAGATTTTGGTTTTAAATGACTCAAAGTTTAAGAGCAACTTCATGTCCTGTGGCTGCTAAAAACGACCTATGGGGCATTTAAAAATCAAACCCTGATGCTGGCATAGTGTTTCATGTTCAGAACATTTTTATTCATGTTCAGAACGTTTTCTGTAGATGAGTCACGTTTTGGAGGTTTTGTTAACAATGAATGATTAGACTCCTCTCAGAGCTTTTGTGTAAACTTTTCTTTTTAAGTCTTACAAACGATGACATTCTAGGTTCTGAGTAACGTTCACAATTAACATCCTCTTTGTTTCATCTCACAGGTTTCTTGAAGCATCAAATGTACTTTTTGAGTCAGTGAACTGCTGAAGTTCAAGTTTAGCTCCTGCTTCATGACCGTTTTTGGACTTTTCGCCTCTTCGACTTCTTTTGGCTGACAGCCAACATTTTCAGCTTCTGCTGTAGTTGTATTAACGTTTGTTATTTTAATGGTACAAATGTAGCCAAATTTGACATGCGTCTTTGCCAAGTTAATATTTAGGCTATAGCAATTTAAAAAATATAATAATAATGTGGCCAAAGAGAGCAATCTGACTACAAAAATGCTGAGCACAAATCACAAAAACGTTAAACCAGCTGTAAAGCATGGTGGTGGAACTATTATACCTTGGTGGTAAATGTTCGAAGAGGTTGTTGAGCATTAAGGCTCATCGAAAAGTGGAACTCACAAGAGGATAACAATTGTACGCATATCAATTCAAAAATACTTTATTAATCCCAAAGGGAAATGAATTGTTGTAACTCATCCTGGTTTCATTAGAGTTGATCTAGATCATATGTGTCAAACTCAAGGCCCGGAGGCCAAATGTGGCCCTTGTTGACATCTTATCTGGCCCCCAAGATGATATGTGAAATGTAAAATACTTTTATCTCTTGAATTTTTTTCAGTAATCTTTGATTATGATGTTGGAAGCACAACAGAGAACATCAAATGAGATCAAACTCTTGTTGAGGAACCTGTTACCAAGAAAAGATGTTGGGTGTCTGATTTGAGTTCATGTAGATTCTGAAATTGGCCCCTAGTTTGAAAAAGGTTTTAATTTGGCCCCCTTTTGTAAGTGAATTTGACACCCCTGTTCTAGATGCTGATGGCTGTGGGCAGGAAGGCTGTCCCACAGTGGATCTGAAGAAACTGGCTGCAGATGTCGATCCGTCCACACAGACCCAGCAGACCTCTCGATCCTCTTGGGCAGCAGGACTGCCTGAATGGTGGTCAGAACTCCTCCCCGAGCGATGGCCATTTCTCCCAGCAGCCTGCCAAGCCCCTCGCCTGTGTGAACTTAACTGCAGGTGCCAGGAGATGATCTCGATCCTCCTGCTGTCACAAGCCGCGTTTCCCGCTACCTCCAAGATCTCTGATCAGGCGCTCGAGCACCGCCTCCAGGCAGACGGGAATGCATCCACGGCATCTCCTTTTCAACTCATTTGGAGTTGTAGTTGAGGTATTTTTGAGCTTCTTTTTTTTTTTCAACAAACCCTACAAGGAATGGCTCAAAAAAATGTTAAACAACTGATAATGCCAAGACTTGAAATGTGAATAAGAGAGAAGGGGTAAAAGATAAGAAGACCCTGAAACATTTTAAAATTTGACTTTAAAGTTTAAGGGTTACGTAATTACAATAGACGTACGAGACCTGTGGACACTGATGCAGAAAAGTTAAGACGTTCTACGGATTAAAGGACGGTCTGTGTTGGATATCAACTATAAAAATATCTTTCTTGGAAAGTCTTAGTCATACAGTTTAAAAATATCCACTGAGGTTTGTGTTTACAATAAAGCACACAAGAACGGAAGAATCGCAAATCACACTTCGCTGAAACTGATCAGATATAAATAAATGATGTGGTTAGCTAAACATCTAAAAAAATCTTTCAGTTTCAGTGTTCAGTGACATGACTGGCAAAAGTACCGTCAGTGCTCCACTGTACTATTGCTTTAGACCCAAATATGACCCAAACAATTAACTTTATTTTCTTTCCAAAGTCAAAGAACTGTGTCAGAGACATCTGGCTTTGTGAGACATGCTTTTTATTTAAGGGGAGTTTTAAATAAAACATCAGACGGCAGGAAACATGATTGTAAAAAATATTGTAAAAGATGCAAAAAGAAGTTCCTGACTCGTTACACTCATTTTGAAATCTGCTCATTTTGTGGCAGTACCCATGAGACATTTCTGGAGTCTTATTTAGTAAAAACTTGACATAAAATCTAAAACAAAAGTTTTAAAATCAGTCACATCTCATCTAATGAGCCCACGTGGCAACGTCAGTAACTTTTAGGTCAAACCCCCGAGGTCTGTGCAGGGGAATCAGAAACTACTCAACAAAACCAGAACCCGCGTGAAAAATGTAGGTTTTATTTCTAACAAAGACGAGACTAGAGGAACTAAAAAATAATGTCCTGACAAGTAAAACGTCTGATTTCAGTGGAGTTTTATGAGTTGCTTTAATTAAAATATATGTTTAAAGGAAATACAGAAGAACAAAATAAAACAAAGGGAGATATTTGTGACTTAACATGTTTATAACGTTTCACCAAATATTTTCTTTATTTTTATTGCTCACACGTAAACCTTTAAGTGCATATTTTGGGACAACGCTGTAAAATGTTTTTAATCAAATCTGTGTTTCAAATAGCAAATACGCTGCAGGGTTTTACTGAAAATTAAGCTAAACAGTCAAATTGAACATCTTTGGTTTAAAAATGTAATTTGTGTCGCATTAAAAAATTATATCTTTAATAATAGGTCTTAGCCATTACAGTTTTATAAAATGTTCTCACGATGTCCATTTTGAACATTTTTAAAGAGAAAAGTGTCTCTGAACAAAAGATGGGGATGAAGTCAAAACACACCAAACATAAAGTAGATGTTTTTAAACTAAGCAAACCTTCTGTCGTGTGTGAGCAAAGTTCCTAAACTGGTGCCGATAATAACTAAAGAGGGTTGTTTTTTAAATAAATGCCACCAATATAGATCCAATAACGATTTGTACTCTTTTTAGGTCAACTTCTCCTCAAATCTTTTATATTAAACTGCTTTATGGTTCTATAAGTACTGGTAATACGATAATGGGTCATGTCTGATCCAACGTGAACAAAACCAAGAAAACTACATTAAACACAGCTTTGTCTTTGACCCTTTAGCTTTCTAACAGTTTTATAAAGCTCTGAAGACACACTTGAAGATTTTAGATTAGGGACATAAATCAGAGATTTACATGAAAAGGAAAATTAGATCAGTCACTGAACTTGACCTCAGATGAGAAGGACATACAACCACGATCAGAAGGTGCCATCCAGCAAACATTTAGAGTCCAATCTGCTCTGTCCATAAAAAAAGACATCCGTCTCCTAAAGTACCCTTGGACATCATTTAGCTCTATCTTTACATGTGATCATTTTGTGTAACTTTCTGTTCAGCATCAATAGGTCTGCTGTCATTTCTCCTCTTTGTTGGTGAAACTCCGCCCCCTTGTGTTTGAGTCGCCTCTGCCAGCTGAGGCGCCTGATCTTCACTTTAGGTCACAACACCGTGAGTGAGCTCAAAGCAAGAAAACACTAAACACACTGTTTTACATGTGGAGTGTCCGTATATCCATATCACAGAGGGGGGGAAAGGATCAAACTTTCCTCCTGCTTGAAGGTGTTCCCCAGCCTTTCACTCAGGGCTTTCCATTCACGCTGCCGGCTAACGTGGAGTTCTTGCTGCGCATCAGCCAGGAGGTCAGGAGGCTGCGGGGCCTCAGCTGACGGGTGGAGGCTTGTGCGAGGCGGACCATGCGCGGTGAACGCCACACCTTAATGGTGGAGTCGTCACTGGCGGACAGGAGCAGCTCCTGATCAGCGGGGCTGAACGCCACCGAGTTCACCACATCGTCGTGGGCCAGACGTGCCAGGCAGATGTTGTAGTGACGGTCCCAGATGTAGCCATGCTTGTCCTCTGCTCCACTACAGGAAGGAGATTAATGGGATAGATCATTGAAACTAAGGCAGGAACTACTGAATGTGACTACTGACTACACGGCAAACATTTAACAGAGAAAAGTAGAAAGCCATACGCATAAATAAGCAAACAAAACAAAAAAAAGAAATTCAGGTTTAGACAGTAAGGACTACTGAATCTGACCCTCCCAGCAGCAGGAACGATATCAATCTGCAGTTAGAAAACAGTCTTTTGTTCAATGCTAGGCGCCAAAACAAATCAATACATTTTCAAACACAAGCGGTTTTCCCTCATGAACACCTGAAAACATCTGCATATAACAGCCAGCTGCTTTTCTGCTTAAAAGCCCCTGAAAAGTTTCAAAATGCTCCTGATGATCAAAAACACCCACAAGACAAATGACATTTCTGTGGTTTGAGATTCAGTTTTTGATTAATGTGTGTTTCGAAAGTAGAAACTGTCCTGAAAATAAAAATTAAACTGATTGTTTGTAACTCACCTTGCAACAAAGTCTCTACTGACGTCGAGGAAGATGAAGAAGCACTCGTCGTTGGGGGTGAATGCCCGGTGAGCGCGCAGACTTCTCCTCTCCTCTCTTAAAGTCTTCAGGTCGATGACGTGCATGTCGATCTCCTCGGCGATGGGGGGCGGCGACATGGGGTCCGAGATCACACATCCTGCTGGCCAAGCGCGGCTGTTCACGTACAGATACCTGACCGAGGACAGCAGAGAAGCTGAGCGTTAAGCAGCAAATATACGGCTAGCTAATTTTTTTTTTAACTGTCAGGATGTGTTTATGACAATATGTTCTGTAAAGAAAACAATTCAGCTGAATCATGAGATGCAACGGTCAAAATATACTATGTTAATTTAATTAAACCTTTTGTGTCCAGTACAATTAAACTTTGCCGTAGGTGCAAAAAACTGCTATGAAACACAAAAAGGTGCGCTCAAGTCATTGTGTGTACAGTAGTCCCTCGCTACTTCGCGGTTCGACTTTCACGGACTCGCTCTTTCGTGGTTTTTGTCAAAGTAAGAGTGGACATGACACCCAATTGGCTAATTGATGGATGAGCCACACGAGCGGCATGGATTATTTAAAAATAAATTATTATAAATTATTTAGCTGCACCTTTGTGCAGCCCACAGGTGCAGGGAGAAGCTCCATTTGGAGCCTGTCATGATCTCTGCTCTCTGCCACACATACATTTCTCCTCCAGCTGAAGCAGCTTTGTGAAGGGTTAACCCTTTGCTGTCCAGCTGCACTTCTTACTTACAAATCAGTTACTTAGACTACAAGCATGTCTTAAAGACATAAAAACCTGGATGACCCTAAATTTTCTGCTTTTGAACACAGACAAGACTGAGGTTTTAGTGTTTGTACCTGAGCATGAATTTTTCAGTCTTTCGCCCTCCTTGGATTGCATTAATCTGTCCTCCAACTCTTATGTTAAAAATCTTGGTTATTTTCGATCAGGACATGTCTTTTATCTCCCACATTAAAAAGGTTACTAGAACCGCCTTCTTCCACCTGCGTAATATCACTAAAATTAGAAACATCTTATCTAAAAATGATGCAGAAAAACTGGTTCATGCATTTGTCACGTCTAGACTGGACTATTGCAATGGTTCGTTATCTGGGTGTCCAAATACTTCTTTAAAACGCCTTCAGTTGATCCAAAATGCTGCTGCCAGAGTCTTAACTGGAGTTAGTGGGAGAGATCATATCTCTCCAGTTTTAGCCTTTCTCCACAGTCCAGAACTGAATACAAAATCTTGCATCTAACCTACAAAACTCTCAACAATCTAACTCCATCTTATATTACAGATCTTATTGTTCTATATTTTCCTAACAGAGCACTTTGCTCTCAGACTGCAGGCTTATTCGTGGTTCCTAGAGTTTCCAAAAGCAGAATGGGAGGAAGATCTTTCAGTTATCAGGCTCCTCTCTTGTGGAACCAACTTCCAGTTTCTGTCCATGAGGCTGACACATTGTCCAGTTTTAAGACTGGACTTAAGACTTTCCTTTTTGATAAATCCTATAATTAGGGTCGACTTGTCATGCTATGTTAAGCTTAGACTACTAGAGGACAAACTGACCTAATTTCTTTAAATGAATTGTTAAACTTGAATAGTTTTCATTTGATACTATTTCTGTCTTAACATGTGATTCTTGACCTGTCATTGTGTATCTGTTCCTCTCAAACCAGCCGGTCGAAGCAGATGGTCACTTGTCCTGAGCCTGGTTCTGCTAAAGGTTTCTTCCTCATGAGGGAGTTTTTCCTTTCCACTGTCACCTTCGTGCTCGCTCAAGATGAGAGTTCTGTGATGGAGTTAAACTCAAAGCAGTCTGCTCCTCAGATAATGTTAAATTATTATTTTTTATTAATGTTTGTTTTTGTTAAACTTATTATTTTTATATATGAATGTTTCTGTTCAGTGCCTTGAGATGACTTCTGTTGTGACTTTGCGCTCTATAAATAAACTGAATTGAATTAAACTTAAAATTCAAAGTATGTCACATCGTAAAATCGTCATAATCACAAAATATAAAAGTGTTCAAAGTTATTTTTAATTATTTTAGAACTTCTATGTTCAGTTGTTAAAGTGTAATTGATCAAGAAGTACATTTCTGTGAAGGGTTAATCCTTTGCTGTCCTGCTGCGCTTCTCTTCTCTACAATTTAAATTTAAATACAGTCATATTTTAAATAAACAATCCATGAAGCATGGACTGTATCCTCCTTTATTTACACAGAAGGAGGGAGATTGGGAGTGAAACTTGAACTTCGACTACTCTATCCCTACTTCACGGTTTTTCACTTATCGCAGGGGGCGTGGTCCTTAAACCCCGTGATAAACAAGGGACTAATGTATTATGAAACAATTACCTGTGGTCAGGAGAAAGGCCCATACCAATAATATGGCCGTGGATATCGATAACATGGTCCAGTGAATCGAAAAACTCCTCGGAGCTCCTTTCTTCCCCAAGTACAGGACCAGAAGTGGTCATCTGCTCAGGTTTGATAAGCTTAATGCCTGGAAAACCAGAGAGAAGACCATGTTTCTGCCTGTTTAAATGACAAGCTTTGGTTTTGTTTTGAAGCATTTAGAATAATTTACCTATCTGGTGAGGGGAGCATGTAAGGCTGCCGGTGGTGAAGAGTAAGTAGGTTTTATCCTCTCCCTCCTCGGACTCCAACGGCTTGATAAGGTTGGAGTCTGGGGCCTTCGTGTAGGCTCTGCCCATCATCTGAGCCACCTGGGTCTCAATCTGCAGCTCCCTGGACCCGACATTGTTGCGACACTGGAAAGAAGAAAGTCGAGCACAAAAAGACGAAATGAAAAATGTGAAATAAAAATCAAACGCAGAAACAAAAAGTATTACGCAGCTTACATGAATAATGTGCTGCAGGCCTGAGATGGTGGGCTGAGAGAGGCGCCCACTCGAAAAGCTGTGACTCTCCATTTCCCTCTGATGCTTTTCCTTGTCCTCTTCCTCTTCTTCACTGTCAGACAATCTCAAGTCAAATAAAAGAGGCCGGTGCTGCTTTTGCTGCTCCCCTTTCTCCCTCCTCGCCTGAGACTGAGCCTCGTAGTCCAGCAGTAGGTCCGGGTTGTCATGACGACGACAGTGGGCCACCATCACCGTTCGAATGGTGCTGGCGCTGATGTTCTGGATCTTAAAAAGGCGCTTGACCACATTGACGTTCTCTGATTCGATATCCTGGAGTAAAAAAAGAAAAGGATGACAATTTTTTTTCATGTGCTGCTCTTTAAAGTGCTGAAACTTTTTAATAACGTCTTGCAGCAGAGCTCATTTTCACCTGGAAGGCTTTGTTGAGCCAGAGCACCGAACAGGACGTCATGTTGCCAATCCAATGCAGGTTCCCAGAGATCAGGTGAGACTCGTTCAGCCAGCAGCCGAACACATCATACGGTTTGTTTCTAACCCGCGACAACAGTGTGTAATTTTCTGTGTCAGAGAATTCAAAGGATGGGCATAAAAAGTTACAATGAATAAAAGCTGCAATTTCTTATTTGTTGCAAACCTTTTAACCAAATCCTCTATTTTTCTGTTAGTTCCTTGTGTATAAGGTGTGCCATGAAAAGGCACAAAGCACTTGGCATTTTAGTGTTTTTTGTGAGCAAATTTAGCAATTTCCTGCCACTAAGTCTGCATGCTGAATATTTGTTAAAAGGAAAACATCAAACTATTAATTTAAATGATCAGTCTGTAATATAGTCATTTTGATTGTAGGTACAGTTTCTTTATATTCAGCTATGTTAATCTTTTTTCAGCACCTAATTTATTCATATTGTCTAATTTCTAAAGAAATTCACACAAAATGACATTAGAGTCTAAGAGAAAAGATTATTTTAAAAACTAAAATGTATCTCCAAAGTAAATCTTCAGGAAATTACTAATTTTCCTTCGCTCTCACCCATGCTAATGACAGCGATTTCCCCTGACGATGAGTGATGTGGGCCCAGGTAGACACCGGACACGAGCAGCAGGCTATCGTCAGGGTTGAATTGGGAGAACTGGGTGTAGCCCCAGTTTAATGGACGCATGCTGGAGCTGTGAACCAGTGAAATGTTTCCATCTGGTCGCTCTGTGTCCCATAGCTGCACCAAAGGAGAATAAATAGATGAGGAGGAGGAGATAAGGAGAATTACAACAGCTGGAAGAAAGCAAATTGATGGGGAACAACACAATTAAATACTGCTTAGTAAAATGTGTCAAAAAGCATCAAATATACCGTTCTAATGATGGAAACTTTTGTAGAATATCAACAATTGTCTCATGTTTCTTGTAAACTATGTTAACATTTATAACAATGTCTCTAGAAACACAAAATCTGACAAGGGAAAGTTCAAAACTACCCTGATTTTGTTACAAAACCATCATGGGATGTAAATATTTATTTATGTTCAACACAAATGTTGCTCAACACGCCATGTCTAGAAGAACACTGTAAAGTTGGTCATCATTATTGAAAAAAAAATTTTTTTTCGATTCTTCCCAAACTTTGCAGCTTCATTCACTAAATTAAAGTTGCAAAATCTTTTGAAGTGTTCAAACGTCAATTTTAAGCCTTTTAACAAAGAGTTTGTTCAACCATTCAAATATTTCTATCCATTCATGACTCCTATTGTTATTTCTTTTTAAAAATCAATGCTAAAAAAGTTGAAAGTTATCGTTTCAAAGCAAATCTGATTTATGTGGATCTTCTGAAGACCCCCAACTAGGGAGTTTTACATCCCACAGTAGGATTCTCCTGAGCCCAGCTTTAGAACCCATCGGTCTACATTATAGCATTTTCTGCAGAAGCAACTTGAGAAAGACTGCATTCAATCTATCCTTATCATTAATATTATTAATATTATTATTTAGAAATGTCTTGCTTTTACTATGAAATATGACTTTTCTCAAAAGGAAATCAAGACAAGGGATAAAAGTAAGTTTGAATATTACCTTAACTGTGCAGTCTTTGGAGCAGGAAGAGAAGCGGTGGCCCCTGTGAGAGAAGGCCAGGTGGAGAACTTGATCGGTGTGCTCTCTCAGCGTCTGAACCTCCACGCAGGGGATACAGTCAAACAGACGTTTGAACTCCCTGTACCATGACACCGCCGCTGTACACAGGCAGAGTCGGAGTTTATCAAACAAAGAACGGTTTTGATAAAACTATCAGTAACACATGCCAATAAATATCTCTGCAAAAGGCATGTTTATATATATTATATATATATATATTTACAAGGATGTCGAGGTACAGAGCGTGGTATGCGGTAGAAGCTGTAGAACAGATCCCTCCACAGGATCTCATCTCTGGAGACAGCCTGCCACTGTCTGCAGGTCAGACCCGCTTTCAGCACAGCATCATGGGGCAGATGCAGGAAGATCTCTAAAACCAAGCTGTCAGGCAGAGCTGGACCAGACTCCATCCTAACATCCTGAGGAACACACCACAGTAATATATATATATATATATATATATATATATATATATATATATATATACACATCAGCCAGAGAATTACACTGCAGAATGTACAACAATGATTTTCATCTCAATGTTTTCTTGTATTCCCTTTTACACAGCCCATAACAATAACCTCATCGATTAAAAACATAATTACTAATAGTGTTAAAAGTTTTATCTTGATGGTATTAACGTATGGAGGTGTCCTGTTTTTTCAGAAGAAATCATTGGACTAAACTAGAATTATTCTGATGCATGAAAAACATACAACTAAACCAGAATATACAACAATAGATTATAACCTAAATGTAATATAATACTAGTACCTATAGTTTTTCAACTTTAGTGTCCTTAACAATAAAACTAATGTCATTAGAATATTGTAAAGGAAACTTTATGTATGAAAATGCTCAGTCTAGTACTTTAACATAGTATATATTTTTTAATCCAACCACAGCACAGAGTAACAAATAAACAAGATCCTCATGTTAAAACAAATATTCATATTTTATCTTACTTTAGCCAAGAGAACATGGCAGCAAAGAAAATATTAAAAATAGCTAATGATACATTTTACAATAATGCAAATGATGTGATGTTTTAGCCATTTATAAGTACATTAAGGGTCATTTTATACTTACTTATTCAGATGGTGAATTACATCAAATCAGCATTCAGATTACAAAAAAGATTTAACTATAATCATCCTGGATCACACTCAAGGTCACAATACAGCAAACTTAATCCAGTCTAAACATTTAAAAAACTAGGTCCCACCTGTTGCAATACACATGTGATTGTGAGTTTTATTTACTTTGACAACTATAAATTCAGAACAATAAAATGCATTTTATGATCAGTACATCTAAAGGATAAATATCTATTTTATGTACCTTAACATGCTGTTGTCTTTGTGGAAGCTTCAGTGTTTTAACGTTTAGGTTACACGAACTGAGAAGATAAGATCACATTTTATTTGCACATCTTAATATATGTTTGTAACTGTTGTAAATATTGATTATTTGATTACTACAATTGTAAAAGACACGCTAAATGGAGCCTGATAGCTGAATGAATCACTAACAGTGCATGTCTATTAAAGAGTTTCCCTTGTAAAACATTAAAACTAATTTATATATAAATGTGTAAGAGCATAACTAACTTCTGACCCTAATTGGTTTTCTGTTTTGCTTGTAAAATGACCTCATCATGTACCTTTTGGTAACTCGATGAACGTACAAAATATTAGTTCCTGTTAGCACTTTATGCTAACCGTTAGCCTCCCTGCGGACAAACTAAACTTTAAATAATAGCCAGAGGGATAATTAGGTTTATACGGTTGTCAGAAATAACATTTGATTTTACAGATAAAATTAAACAGATCAAGATAGCTTAAACTGCTAGCTGTGTTAGCTAGCAGTTTAGTATATTCTCAACTTTTAGCAGACGACATTTAAAATTGACAAATCGTAACGTAAAATAACTACAACTGGTGTTGCACAAGTTGACACTTTGACATCATATTAAAAAAACAGTTGAGAAAAACTGTGACCCACCTGCTGGATTACAGTCTGATGAGGAGAAACATCTAACCGGCTGTTAGCTAAAAGCTAGCCTTGGAAAAATGTCAACAATCCACTACGAACCGCGAGACTCGATCAACAAATGACAGAATCATCGCTGAAAATAGGCCAAGATAATCGAAATGGCGTCACCGTGTCTTCTGCTGCTGCTTCTTCTTTTATTTTTTTGTTTTTACGGCAACATATGTTTAGGGGAAAAGTTAAGTATACAACATAGAGACTGGTTGCAACAACAGATTTTATGTGGACAAATACATTAAAAGAAAAAAAACTTAATTCATTGAAAACACGCTACTGAACAATCAATTAACCAATCTTTATCATAAGTAGTTTGCATTTTATGTTAGGTGAATCTTTATTACAATCATTGAAAATGTGAGATGACAAAGACAAATAAATAAATGTATTCAACATTTCACAGTGATATTTCATTTATCTCTCATGCCCTTGTATGAGGTTCCATTAATGCCAAAAATATGTTTGTGTCTATGTAAAGTGTGTATGTAGCGTGCTGTGTATATGTAAGGTGATGTGTTAAGTGATATGTTAAGCACACATGTTAAGTAACATATCACTTAACATATCACCTTACATACACACTTTACATCCATCCATCCATTATCTTTACCCGCTTATTCCATTTTGGGTCACGGGGGTCGCTGGTGCCCATGTCCAGCAATCTCTGTGCGAGGGGCGGGGTACACCCTGGACAGGTCGCAAGTCCATCACAGGGCCACATAGAGACAAACAACCATTCACTCTCTCACTCACACCTAGGGACATTTTAGAGTTACCAATCAGCCTAACATGCATGTTTTTGGTCTGTGGGAGGAAACGGGAGTACCCGGAGAAAACCCACGCATGTACAGAGAGAACATGCAAACTCCACCCAGAAGGCCCCTGGACCGGGGTTTGAACCAAGGACCTGCTCGCTGAGAGGCAGCAGCTCTACCAGTTGCGCCACCGTGCTGCCCACACACTTTACATAGACACATAAACATATTTTTAGCATAGATTTATTAGTATTCTAATTATGCTTTATAATGTGTTTAAAAATTTAGTTAGTGGTGGTGCAGAGCTTAGAGAAGGTGGGCCTGTGATCAGAAGATCACTGTTTCAACTCCCGGTACCGACAACATCAAAATGTGGGTGGGATTGGTGAAGCACCCACACCTGTCTCCACCCCACTCTGAGCCCTTGAGCAAGGCCCTTAACCCCCACCATCTACCCCCACCTGGGCACCCTAGATAGCAGCTCCCTGCTCCACACAGAGGGCTGTAGTAGCTCAGTGGTCTGTGATTGTGTCAGGAAGGGCATCAGGCGTAAAAATAAGTGCCAAGTCTTTGTGCGACTTAGTTCACTGTGGTGACCCTAGACGAAGGGGGCAGCCGAAAGAAGAAGAAAAAAGTGTTATAAATTTGATGTATAAAACAGCCCTATCATTGTAAATGTGTGCAAACTTACAATTCCTTAATAAAACCCACCAAAAAGTAAACAGACAACAGATCATGGCTGCATTTTTTTTTTGTTCTTGTTTGTTCTAAACATACAACATATTTTAAAACACATATTTATATAAAAATATCATGCAGTGCCACACGGCATAATTTTCATATTTGTGTTTAGGGTCATAAATCTCATAGCATACACACCCTCCCCAAACGAAACATGTTCCCACAGCTATGGTAACTCTATACTCTTTGTGCATGCAGGTATCAGCTCTGTTTACATCAGTGAGCTGCACCCCGAGGATCACAAAATCCCTTAGTGACTGAAAAACTTGCTGTGTCACCGTCTTCTCGTGTCACAAATGACCACAAAGCAGATAGACGGCAAATCTGCACTTTAAGGCTAACAATAAGGGGACATTTACACTGAGGAGGCATGCTGTGACTGATAATCTCTGGTAAGCTCTAAAGATTTGTGCGTTACTTTTACTATTTCATGAAAACAGGGTGAACATTAACCTTTATTAAACAAGCTGTCACTGTTAGTGTTTCTATGATAACACATCATGGGTTAGTGTCTAAAACAGTGTGTTGAACCTGATAGGGTTGGTGTCTTGTTACCTGCGTTGAGATGGTCTCATTGTCCCTGTTCTAGTTGATACAGCTAACAGGTTATTGTCTTCCTGCAGGACTGCGCAGTGCAGTCAACTGGGTGATTTCTTGCTGTGGCTCCTCTGAGAAGGGCAGGATGCCTTTAGGAAACCAATGTAAAGGTGCTCCATGTGTAAACGTCCACCTTTTAAGACTTTTCAGGACCCTGCAGAGTTTTTATGAATGAGTTGTTCTGTTTGTGCAGGACAAAAAGTGTGGACGGTGTCCAGAGATGCAACGCCATCCAGTCAGAATCATGCATAATGGTTCAGATGAACAGAAGATTTCTTCACCTGCAGCAAGTTAACCCCAGCTTTACCTAAAGTCTGCTTGTTACAATGACGACCTGTCTGAAAACTTCTTGTGGGGAAGTTGGACAGTGTCTGACATCTGGCAAGTGCTTTACTAATTCTACTGTAAGCATAATTCACTTAAATGGTAACAATAAAATATTATAATCCAGCATAATAACCCAGTAAACTGATTAAAATGTGTCTGATCACTTTGTTGTCTTCATGAAATATTCTACTAAACATTTTCTGTTCATTCGTTATTTCATGCGTTTTGGTGCCATCGTGTGGAGAAAATAAAAACTGCAGGAGAAAATCACCCAAATCAATTAATGAAACTTTCAGTTAAATGTGGCTGAAATACAAGATGTTAAACTAGATAAGTTAATGAAAAGCTACTACATTTTAATTTCTCATCATGGTGGCCACAAAATAATTATGTTTTCTTTAAATGAGCACAAAGAAGTGGGACTTTTTTCATATTTGGACAACAAAAAAGATAAGATAAGATAAGATAAGATAAGATAGAACTTTATTTATCCCAGGAAATTTAAAATAAGGGAAACGCTGGCATTCATTGATTTTAAAGATGCTTGTCATAAAATAAAAGCTTTACAAAAAAATGAAGACATTGGTGATTCTTAAACCAGATCTCTGTAAACATATACCACTAAAATGTTGAAAATAAGTGAAAGGGTTTTCTTTTTGAATTCATTTTAGGAGACTCTGATTTAAATTCAGGGTGTTTATATAATAGGTTTCCTTTCAAAATAAATGGTAAATGGACTGTACTTATGTAGCGCCTTTCTATCTTGTCAAGATACTCAAAGCTCTTTACACAACAATCTGTGCCTCATTTACCCGTTCATACAGCACTCTACTAGATCTCTACAAAGCTATTTGAACAAATCATTCTAAAGAGACTAATCAGAGCTTTATCACATTCATACACCGATGGGACACACATCAGAGGCAATGAGGGGTTCAGTGTCCTGCCCAGGGACACTTTGGCATGTGACTGCTGTTGGATTTGAACCCCCAACTTTTGCATTGGAGGACGACTGCTCTAACCACTCAGCCACAGCCGCCCCACAAAATAAAGCAAAACTCCTTATTTTCTGTTAGAGGGGGGAGATTTGCATACACAGTAATACAGTGTTTCAAAACATTTCTCAAAAAGCATCACTCTATATCATGAAGGAAGGTTTTTTAATTATTTCATTTGAGAGAATCCGGCAATATAATTCAGTGGACTCTCTACAATCTTAAATATATTATTTTACTTTTTTCTATAGTTACTTTTTTCCATGAAATTACTCCCATTGTTTTTATTGTTAAGCACTTTGGTAACAGCTGCTGTTTTAAATGTGCTTTATAAATAAAGTTGACTTGACTTAACTGGAATGAGTCTGAATGCATCACTTATTGAACACAATCTTCACTTTTAGCTCAGTGTGTGCAAATATAAAAATATTCTGTACACTTTTTTTATAGCATCTCAATGAAATTGGACTTCTTTCCAGCTTCTGACTCGCAGAATCATGATGACACAAACCTGAGGCCCCAAATGTTTTTTAGTTGCCTGTCAGGCCAAATAAACCATTGCACCAATGACAAATATCATAAGAGCATTTGTTTGTCCAGTTATTATTACACTTTCAACTCTTTTTTTGTATCAGTGATGACAAAAAATAAAGGATCATTTTTAACTTTTAAGTTTTTTTTATAGAAATCATCTCAAAACTCTAAAACTTTCTGTTTAATGTTGGTCCTAACTTTGGCAATCACCCTAAAAGACAGACAGACAAACTGAAACCGAACCATTTATTTGACTTTATCAGTTTTATAACTTAATTTACATCTCCTCTCTGGTTTGATATACATCACTATTTTAGATTACCTTTAGAATAAATATATTGTGATAAAGTTGCATGAATAAACTTGTAATTATTCTACAATACGTCAGGTTTATCACATCGCCAGCAATAACACATCTTCAATTCTTCACATATTTTTCTAACTCTATAATAAAGCATTAAAGAAAAAAAATATTTTATTGACTTTGGTTATAATTTTTGAATGAATATCTCACAAAGCAGTAGTCCAAATGGCAATTTGTGTATCATGAAATGGAAAATGAGATTTATCGAGAGGGCTTTTGATTTGTCCTCATAAAGTAACACAAATGTCGTAGGGTTCCCAAAGAAGGGGTCAAAACCCCAGCATGGGTCACAAAACACCATGAGGGTCCTGAGATGATCTGCAGAAATAAAGCAAAATTAGAATATATTTTCTTTTGACATATTTCAACTAAAATTTCTTCAAAAGTAAAAAAAAATAAATAAATAAAAATTGTAAATTTCTAAAGTGTGTTTCTAAAGCTAAAAAGTTTGGAAATTCTTATAACATTTAGAAATGAGGCCTCAATGCCTTCAGCCTTATAGCTCAGACTGGAGGCCTTGCAGATAAACTGAAGGTTTGCTCTAACAATCATACAATTAGTTTTATTCTTCTGCATCTCATCCCTGGGATTTTCTGATCAATGTTTTAATTCATAAAAATCAACAAGCTTGTTTTTCCTATCAATTCTGCAGAGATATAACTGCAGCAGTCTAAAAATGCTGCTATAAAATTATTCACATCCGATTGTGGAAGTTAGGCCTAATGTGCTTGTTAAATTGTGTTTTTGATCGTAAGCTGTTATTTTAGTCATATATAAACATCAAGTTGTTTTCTACACATTTAAAGAAATATAATTTATTTCAAAACGCCCTCTGCTCCATCATCTCTGCTAAGGCCTTTATTCCCTCACTGGAGAAGCTGTGCTGTAAATCATTACTGTGAGCTGACTTCATCATGTTGTAATCTCATATCATTTATTTAGAACAGAAGAAATGTATTTACAATCACATGTACGAAACATTTTTTACAGTTACACAAATATCCGAAGTATCCAGTCTGTACAAGTTTAAAGTGACATTTGGATGCAGCTGAAATGTGTCCTCTTATCTTAATAACTCTGCTGAGAATGTTTCCACCTGAACTGAAATAAACATTATTCAAAATGTTCTTTTAAACAACAGATAAACAATCAGGTGACCCCATACAAACACTGATAATGCTGCCATTTTAACTAGAAAAAAAATCAACAAGCATTAAAAAATAAGAACTTAAAAATCTCCTCGTCTTCTTTATTTCTTTATTTATATTTATTTATTTACATGCCTGAAACGTGGAGACTTTTTACTTCGCTCTACATCTAAAGTGCAACCAGCCCTCTTTCTGTTTGCCATCATAGCACCATGGTGGGGATGTGGCGCACCAGGGGCATTTGGTGCGGGATGGGGGCCATCTGCGGGGGAGGAGGAGGTGGGGACACCTGAGGGGGCCCGTCGGCGCTGGTGGCCGCCGGCTTGTGCCGCGCGCTCTTCTGGTGCGCCCTGAGGCCCGCCAGCTGCGAGTACGCGCTCTGGCACACGTGGCACTTGTAGGGCCGCTCTCCCGTGTGCAGGCGCACGTGGTTGCGCAGCGTGGACGACTGGCTGAAGCGGCGGTTGCAGAAGCGGCACACGAAGGGCTTGTCCAGCGTGTGGATGCGCATGTGGGAGCGCAGGTTGCTGCGGGAGTTGAAGCCGCGGTGGCAGATGACGCAGCGCATCCGGCCTGCGGTGGAGGCGACGGCGCAGGAGGAGGAGGAGGAGGTGGAGGAGGAAGAAGAGGAGGAGGAGGAGGACGGGGAGCACGAGGAAGGTCCGTCACAAGAGTGGGTCTCATCTGGAAGAAGAAACATAGTGAGCAAGAACTTCTCTTAGCTGAGGTTCGTTTTTGTTTCGGTTTTACGCACCACTTCTGCTTTTCTTCAGGTGTTCCTCGTCTATTCCAGGAACTCCAGGGATCCCCAGGAACGTGTTGTGGGTGTTTCCATACCAGACAAGGAGCTCCTGGTCTGGTGGGATGGTCTGAGGTAAAGAAAAGAAAAGTTTCTGATGATTTCAGTTTATCAGCTTTGGTTTAAAAAAAACCAAACAAACAAACAAAAACATTTTGTCCCCTGGCCCCATGAAGATGCTCATTAAACATATCAATTTTCACAAACATCTTCACTCCACACTCTCATCTAAACCAGATGTTGGATTGACCAAATACATCATTAACCTGCAGAACAAGAATTATAAAAGTGAGACATTAATGGCCCCCTTTAGCACAGATCTGCTCTGCTGACTATGCAAAAGATCCTCACCTCCACAGCTTTGTAGAAGATGCTGCTGCCGATCTGCACCACCTCCAGGTTCTGCTCCTGCTCGTTCCGGGCGCACTTGATGTAGGTCATCCAGCTGCGGTGGTCCTCCTGACTGGCATCGATGAAGTACCTCACCGTGCCGTCTTCATTAAACACCTAACACAACAAAGAGTTTCAAAAAAACGTTTCCAAAACCCGAAACTCATCCCATCCCCATTGGACTCTGCGCTCACCTCCCACATCAGGTTGTTGTTCTTGAACAGGTCCACGTGCTCAGGGGACAGGAGTCTACCCGTGAAGGGGCCCATCTCGGTCCCTGCCTTGATCCAGGTCTTGGTGAAGATGCCCAGACCTTCTCCGGGGATGGAGCTCTGCGCGATGATCACTTCGCTGGGCAGCACCAGACTGGAGAGCTTCTGCACCTCTGAAAGGAGCAAAACTTCAGATTTGTATTCACAAAACATAATTTAGAAGCTTAAATGAGGCGAGGAAAAAAACATAAAGCAGCAAATGAACTGGACCTTATTTTATCTTATCCACCATTTAATTCGATTATCTGGCTGAATTCATAGTTTTTGTTGCGTAAAAGAAAACACTCCCCACTGGCAGCAAAATAAAAGAGAAAAAAGGTGCCTCTTTAATGTCAAAATCAAAGAATCTTTTTAAAAAGAATCAGACTGCAAAAAGTCCGGGGTTAAATGGTCCTCTATTGCTCAGGGTCCAGCGATTTGTCATGCTTCAGATGTGATATTCATTAAAGTTTACTGGAAAAAAAAGGGGAGCGGCTAATTCCAAATTCATTATCCTTTTAAGAACTTTGTAGCAATAAATTTGCGCTGAATGCGACCAGGACTTGTTTAAAAGCCTGGGGAATTTGTGCGACAATAAAAAATGGAAAGGCGATTAGATGGTTGACATGCAATGAATAGCATTAGATTTAGCCTTCACGGCGCATTATGCGAGGAACAGCAAATCTTTTAAGGAGGAGACAGAGAGAAAGAGAAAAGCTCCGGAGCTCCATAGCTGCCAAGAAGTGGGGGGGAAGGAGAGAGAGAGACTCTCCGGAGATTGATGAATGCGGGATAAAAAGCAGAGGACATCTCAAAGAAAAGGGGGAACTTTTCTCTTTTTTAAGTGGAAACTTTCCCAGGTCAAGCACAAAGTTAACCAAATGAATTTAACGCTCCGCGGCTTTCAGTTGCACCTAACAAGCCTCCAAAACTCAAGGTCTCAGAGCCCTGTGGAAAGGGTTAATGCGCTAAATGGGACGAAATAAAAGCAGCAAAAAAAGAATGTGGGAAAAAGTGCGTTGAATTTGGTGAAAAAACGCTTGGAATAAAAGATGCCCAAGAAGGTCAGTGAGCTTTATTTTTTTTATTCAAATCATATAAGATGTTGGGAAAATGTTTACAGTGGTGGGATAATTTTGTAACCCCAGATTTGTGTTGATTTATACAATTTATTGTGTGAGGTCTGCAGAAAAATATCAAGTTTGTCAAATTAAAGCGCTCTGTCAATATAACCAAATGCGCTTTTACGCACGACTCACTTTGCTTGAAAGTAAAGAAAACTCACAAGTGCGCCATTAAAGTTAAATAGGAGTGTCTCAGAATAGAGCAGCAGCTCAGACAACATACCTCCAGTGAAGGACTGGGCCAGCACTTCGGCCGTGAAGGCGGTTTTGGTGCAGCTGCTGCTCTGGCGCTCCTCCGCCAGGTGTTCGCCCAGCACGTTCCTCCACCTGCCGTACAGGAAGCTGTGCAGGATGTCCGAGGTGATCACGTCCGACAGAGAGCGGCCGGGACACTTAAATCCAGACTTGAGAGCTAGGGCGTCTGCGGGCAGCACGGAGCCCATGTTTGCATGCGAGAGAGAGAGAGGAAACTGCGCGCGGAGACTGTTCCAAACCGGTGCGCGCAGGAGAAACTAACCCTGCCCGACCGCGAGGGTCTCCTTATATACGTGGCTACTGTGACCCCCTGTCTAATTACTTATTAATGGCACACCCCTCACCGCGTGGACCTGCCTGCTGCACCCGCAGGGGGTGGAGTGTGCGTGCGTTTATTATTATTTCAGCCATTATCCGCAAATTAAATTAACATTTATTTGCGCGCAAAGCTGAATAAACTAAAAAGAGCTAGAAAGAACATAATTTTGGCTCGTGTGAAGAGGAATCTAAACATCTGCAACAAGGGTTAAAAAAAAAACATTCTGTCAGTTTAGGTGAAAAGTTGCGTTTCTCTGCGCGTAAAAGTGGGTCTGGCAGTTTTTCGCTGGTTTTCTTCTCCAACATTTTGTGTTCATACTTTAATAACATTAATATTTGTTTGTAAGGAGTTATAGCGCGGGAATAACAAGAATGGAAACAAGCTTTTTCTTTCCCAGCATTGTTCCCATGCAGGAGGAAAAAAAAAACTGCTTTGACGTGGTGCACTTTTTCAAGCCCTTGTTGAGGTATAAGCGGTTTAATATTCATGGATGTTCTGAGCCCCCTCTTGGTATTGTGGCGACGTTCAGATGAGTATATACACCCCCCCCCCCCCCAGTTTTTTTCTTCCCGTTTTTCCAAGGCTTGATGGACTGGGGGGCTAAATGGGCAGTTTTCCTTCTTCTTCCAGCAGAGAGGACATCTTTATTCCATCCCCGGCTCACAGGTTTCCCATTCAGCTCCCCTCCAAGTAATGTCAGGCCCCTGAAAAGTGCTGCAAATCAATCTTTCATGGTGTTTTGAGGGCAATTTGACATCCATGCACTCCTCTTTTCACTCCAACTACTACAAGGGGATTGTCCGAAGGGGGAAAAAACGTCAAGTTGTGCTCTGTCTCTCTCTGTGTCTGCAGGAATATGAACTGTGGCAAAGTAAAAGAAGATATGGTAAGTAAATACAATGGTGGGGAGTTTTTTCTTTTTCTTTTGGAGAAGCAGAGATAGAGAAAAGCCAAGGTGAGTGACAGGGCACGAAAACAGATTACTGTGAAAACAGCTGCTTTTTATGAGAGGGCCCCTCCTACATTTGTCTCCTTTTTCCCAGATGAAATTTCTCTGCTCCTTTCAAAGGGATTCTTTCTCATCTAGATTGATTTACATTTATGGCATTCAGCGCACAAATCCCGAGGTAAATGGCGACTGGCTGTGGGGGGACTGGGGAAGGAGGGCCCCCGCTTCTTTATTAAAGAGGAATTAAATGAATTGAATTGGGGTAACGCATGGATTTGATTTGCTCATTTATGCATTAACCTGTGCCATTATTTTGGTGCTGGTTAGGCCTCGGGGACCTTGTCAGCAATGGCACATCATCCCGCTTAGCCGCTCCATTGTAGGGCAATTTAAGCCATCATTGTGTTCCATTTAGGGCCCATCAATTTAATGTGGATGATTGACAATTATTGCACAAAGAATGTGGTAATGGTTCGGATTTCAAAGGGCTGCTGGGAAACCTATTAACGCGAGCCGTTTGTTTGTGGATAAATAGCGGAGTTTTACGCGCATCAGCCAGGAGCTGCAGGGGGAACAGGGAAGAAAACACTTGGACACATATTGAACTTTACACTTTCAACTACAAAATAAATAGAAAATTAAAGAGAAATTCTGGAATAAAAATCTAATTTTTGTTAAATATTTTGCATTTTGGGGAAATAAATCATGTGGAAAACGCGTTTTTACTGACAGACCGACTAAATTAAAACTCTCAGGCCTCTCTCTCTTTCACACACTCACACGCACAGACGCGCGCACACAGTCTCTTGGGATCCTCCAGTGTCATTAAAAACAGATTAAGGTATCTGCACGGCGCGCTGGATCGGCTTATCTGTTGCAAAGGTGAGAGCGCTGCTGTCCCTCCTCTCCCCTAAGAGCGCGTTTCCTCCTCCCCCTCACTGTTGATGGACGGGACAGGGGGTGGGGGTGCTGTGGTGCCGGGACACCTGCTGGATGAGGAGTTGGAGGTGCGCCTTCATTACGCACCAAGAACTGGTCCAAATCTGTCCAGAATTAGTTGAAACACGACATCAAATATTTGAAATATGCTTTTCAAGTATATTGTTAAATATTACAATAATTTTAATGGGCTTATTATTATTAAAATTTGTGTTTAAACTTTTGTTCTATTCATCATCTCGGTTCTTTTCACCAATTTAGGTTAAAAAAACAATCAAAAAAATAAACAACCATATCGCCATGCAGGAGTGATGTGTGTGAATGACGTTTAGAGGAGGAAGATGATGATGAGGAACTCAGATGAATGAGTGAGTCTGAAGAGGGTGACGTATATCTGTGAAATTCTGCAGCTGATCCAGATTTTGTTACAGATTTAATAGAAAACAGAATAGTTAAAAAAATACATTTGGTCTTTTTCTAATGATTGACTAAATTAGTATCGAATTAGATTTTAGTTGGAAAGAATAAAAAGTGGAATAAAAATAATGAACTGCACATAACTGGGTTGGAACTTGAAGTGAAAAACTGAGAATTTCAAAAAGCTGCAGGGAAAGGTTTGAAGAATTACACAAACACACATGAAGTTTCAAATTAAATTATTTAAGTTAACTCTGAATAAAGTCAAACAATTTATCTTGGTTCTTACAGATTTATATTTAAATCATGGCTTTTAGTTCCTAATCCTGGACAAAAATTAAATCATAAAAAAAGTTAAAACTTAAAAAAATTCAGAAAATTGTTTTCTAAAATGACAAATAAAAACCGTTTGTTCATTTTGAGAATTCTTTTTGTGCATAATTTTGTATTTTTGGGCCCAGTACCTCCAAGCACCCATTCTTATTTATCACCTGAGCTGATTAAAACCAGCACTGTTGAAAAAAATCCCTGATGGACCATCAAAAAATAACTAATAAAGTAGATTATGTATCCAAGCACCATGCCTTTCACACTCAACTAAATCAAAGAGAAATATGAAGACGGCCACAAAGAGAGACCAGCAGGTTTGATTTGTCCACAGGGACGAGGCGTTGAGTCGGAGAGGGATCAAAATCAAGGATTGGATTTGAAAACAGCTGCACAGCATCAAAGCAGGGGCCACGCAGGATCCACTCTGGCAGGAGCCTCCCTGCTGAGGGCAAAGATGTGCAGCGACAGAGCTGGAGACGCTCTGGATGTGTGTGTGTGGGACATCTGAGAAGACAGGAGGCTGAGGGACGAGATGCTGCTGGATGCAGGACTCAAGAATCAGCTTTAAGCTTCAGGGGCACAAAAATCAATGAAAAAAGCTGCAAGATTGTCTCCAACATTGCATCATTTTACATTAAAACCATGGAAACATCTCCATCCAGAAGAATCTGAACGTAGCCACAGATGATTATTAAACACATTTTAACCAGCTGCACGTTTCTGGCTTGTAAATGCAACAAAAAAACAAAAAAAAACAATGAGCACTTAAGACGTGCATAAGTGGACAATTGCAACAACAGCATAAATCAACCACAAGAGAGGCTTGCGGAAATTTTATTTGAATTTGAGAACTGGCAGTAGACTATAGAAAATATATATTTTCTTCTTATAAAACAAGAAAACATACATTTGGCCTATATATCCTCTAGGTTTCATCTGGTATTACACACAATAGAGCTTTCAGTTTAAACACTTTAGTAGCAGAATACAACAAAAGACATCCAAATGGTTATAATATTCATCTAACAGAAATAAAATCAGCTTAACAGTACACATAAAGGTAGTCTGGATGTTTTTTTTTTTAATACACGGTTAAACTGTACACACGGAGAAAAATAAAACACCATAATCAGACAATTTGAAATTATATCCCTTTTCATTAAGAAATGACATTAATACCAGAACCATTCTCCATAATGATGCATCATTTATATTAGATCACACAAAGAAATAAAAAATTAATTAAAAGGTTGTTAGCGTTGGACTGAGTCCAGCGTCCCACTGTGTCCACAGCGAGGGGGCTCAGTGGGATGCTGGCGAACTGGGAGGTACCAAATAAGACTTTGTTTTTTTATAATACTTAAAACATAAAATATACTACATTAATTATTACACAGGTACGAATTGCAGCAGCTTAGCAGTCTTGAATAGTTTAGAGTATACACAAAAAAATCTACTTTTTTTTTCTTCATAAGATGCAACATCGAATTTCAAAAAAATCACACATTCACAATCTTTGAACATTTTCAGTAAGAAAAAAAAGAACAGAAAAGAGGGACAACTCTCCTGCAACAAGGATCACAGGAAACAATATTTCATAAGTGTATATAATATATATATGAAACATATATATCTTAAATTAACAGTCAAATATATGAGCATATATACATCATTTTACAAGGTAATAAAGGCAAAAAAGCTATTTGCAACATCCCCCTAAATCCTATCATTTCAGATCACTGTAATAAATTATCCATGACATCTCAATTTCAAAATAAAATAAAAAATAAATCTTAAAACTACAAGTTAAAAATCTGTCAAAATATTAAAGGAACCATCTTTGTCTCAAAAGTGAAATAAGATATTGCACCTTGTTTTAAACCAGAGAATAAAATGACAATGAAAAACAGCATACAACACACAACAGGAATTAAATTAGAACTACTGCCACTGGCTGGCGTTCATCTAGATTTTTAACCTTTGTAACAAAAATACATTTCCTGTAACAAAACATCACAGTTTTATTTCACTGAATTTTGTAAATAATGGGAAAAAAAAAAAAAAAAACATCTTCAACACACTCCTTTAAACATTCGACATGTGACAAAACTGTATTCAAGACTGCTAAGCAGATCATCATGGTTTCATTTCCACAGAACTAGAAAAAATAGATATTGCCTTTTGAAATGTTACAACTTCTCGGGTTCATTTTGGCGTTTACAATCCGAGTCATGACAGGAAAAATAACTAAAAAAAATTACAAACAGCTCTCTCAAGTCCAAAAAGGGATCCCAGATACTGTCTATCCAAAATAACAGTGTACACAAGCATTTAGTAACAAACAAATGTTCCTGATTTTAGAAATATTACGTAATCATACAAGTCATTCTACAGCTAGTGTTTCTCACTAAGAAAAAAAGTCTTCAAGGCGTTTTAAATCTAGAACTCCCTCTGTTAAAAAAAAAGGGTTGTTTCCATCCGCAGTGTTTCAAGTCTTGAACCGGCGATTCTCTAGTGATCCTGCAGGACACAAACACATCAGGTGCACGTGAGAACTTCAGCTTTTAATGATCAGTAAAAACAGCAACAAATAAATTGTCCTCCAGTTTAGCTTTTCGGCTTAATTCTAATTAAAATGTCTACAATTTAAAAGGTGCTGATCACAAACAGAGGGAACCAAATTTTAACTAGCCTTAAAAGTATTCCCAAACCAAATGAAGATTTCTATTAAGAGAAACATTTTAATTAAAAAGGGATGATTTACTGTTTTAATGCTCAAACCAGCATACAAGCATATTTTGAACATTAGTTTTTTAAATTTCCTCAACATGTTGTACATCAGCTTTAGTTTCACTTCCACACCATCGAGGCGATAACCGCAGCTTCGACGGTGTTTAACGAGCTGATGGAGCTCTTGGAGCAATTCAAGTTGGCTGTTTCAGGGAATAAACGTTTGAGGGAACCTTCAGATCAGAATCTGGGCCGATAACGTTGCAGGTGTTGTGTCGAGTTTTGTCCCCAAGTCGATATCTGTATCAGTTTTGTTTCGTTTTTCTCTTGCAGTAGTCCCTCGTTTAGCACGGGGGATCCATTCCGTACACTGAAGCCCCGCAATAACTGAAAAACCGCGAAGTAGGAATATTAGTACAAGTAGTAGTTTATTAAAAATAATAATTAAAAAAAAGTTTTTATTTAATAAGGCGTTTTAATCCCTTCCCACACTCTTGCAATATTCTAAACAATGTTTCTAAATTCGAAAAGAGCACAGAATGTCATGATTTCAGCTCCCTGCCTCCTCTGCGCTCAGCCACTTACAAGCACTCTTGGCCACGCCCACTTCTACGCTCTGCACAGAGAACAGCTGATCAGCTGCAGCAGGAAGTTTATCCTGCAGTGTGGGCTGCACAAAGCAGGTGCTAAATTATTTAAAATAATGTATTTTAAATAAAAAAAATTCCAGGCCGATCGTGCGGCTCGTCCATCAATCAGCAAATTGTGTGTCATGTCCAATCTTATTTTGAAAAACCTCGATCGAGCGAGTCCGTGATAAACGAACCGCGAAAGTAGCAAGGGACTACTGTATTCTCTATGATTTTTATTTTAAGTTTAATGCCGCAAAAACACCTTGATGTTTGTCTTTCATCCTTTCTGTCGTAGAAGGAAACGCACCTAGACAGCTGAAAATGTAATATGTAGGTGGGGGGAACAGATCTCGTGTGCTGATTTCATTTAACGTCTGCTCATTTTAAACATTTACAACAAGTTAACAGCTAAACTAATCAAATTTAAATTGGACTATTTAATGCACATGACATGAAACGCACAAAGGCCAATGTACAAAACGACTTGTCAACATTAATCCTCAGTATTTCTATTTAAGCACTTTTATTTCTCTCATGTCTAAACTCCTGCTAAAGAACCAGTTTGCTGCAGTTCTTACCCATAACATTACGACCTGCTGAATATTTAGCCTTTTTATTTCTAAAACGCAAACAACAAGAACTTAATTTTATTTATTTGTTGTCCTGGAATTGACACTTTAAATGTATTCTTTGTACTTTATTTGCAATTTAAAATTTATATTGTGTTGCACTGTAAAAATAAAATCAAATGCTTATTCTTATTGCTCGAGAAAAATGATTTTTTTTTTTTAGATTAAATTAGTGAAACTGAATAACTGAACTAAGAACAGCTGTTGCTGAACGTTTTATAGTTTTTACCTCTTCAAGAGGTTAGCAGACACCAAGAAAACCCACACCAATCCTCTAACTGCTGTGAAATCAGGTGTGCAGTGCAGATCAGGAGTGGGGTCTCACCTGAAGGCCCGAGGCCGACGTCTGCTGAGCGCTCTGGTTGAAGAAGGCCATCGGCTGTCTGTAGAAGTCAACCCAGGCGTTGTAGTCAGGATTAGAGGTCTGCTGAGATCCAGGACCAGATGTCTGGCCTAAAAAATAAAAAAAGAGGACACCATCATAGAATAAAGAAATGTTTTTATTTCTATTTTTTAATAATAAGCAATTTCACGTGAACTTACCCCAGGTTTTGTTATAGTCGGAAGCAGTGCTCTGGGCTTGGTTTTGCTGACCTGCTGAACAAACAGGATTCATTTGATTTTTGTTTGTAATAACCAATCAAATGCAGATTTCCAATTTGACATTTTGAAATCATAATTACAAGGTTTAATGAAAGCAAGCAAATGTAATCAAGCCTCAGCGACAGAAATTAACCGAGACGTGAATCTGAACTCAACGAAGCAGAGTTAAAAGAAGAAGCTTGAATTGATCTTAATCAGTTTGATGTTTGAGTGACTCTTGCCTAGCTTTTTATAATACTGCTCCCAGTCCATCTGGCCCGTCTGGGATCCATTGTGACCTGAAACCAGACACAGAAAACACAACCAGATTTAGTGAGAGCAGCTTTTGCATTTCACCTTCTGTTCTTATTTACAGATCTGCTTCCCGATAAATTCCACTGACGGCAAACGTAAAAGTCTGTCCGTACAGGAAACGCGTGGTTAGCCACGAGGAATGTGTCTGCAGAACGGAAAACATGAAAATCTGTGCCGTTTTCAAAGTCAGGCGTCAATTTTAATCATCTATTTATCAGCCCAAGATACTGACGGCTGAAGGCGATCAGGTTTTTGCCCGTGTCTGTTAGCAAAATACCTCACACCAATAGACAGATTTTAATTAAACTTTCAGTAATTAATTATTGAAGGTACATCTACAACGAACCAACTTATGGAGCCAATCCAATTCAAGATGGCTGCCAAAGACAACTGATCTTAGCAAACACAAAAAATTGTTCCAACTCAGTCAATCTGACAGGCGAAGATTAAATTTGGTAAAAGCTGAGAGTCAATACTAACACCTACTTCAAAACACTAACAGATCACACAATATGGCACGAGATCACACACATTACTGTCAACGTTTCGTCCAAACGGCAACATTTCTCAGAATGAGATGAGTTTAAAACAGGTTACACACATTCCTTCAAGGAATACAATAATTTGGTGCATTTCTAATTAAACAGGACTCGTTTAGAAAATACTCACTCTGGTCTTGCTGGCCTTGAGGCTGCCATATCTGAAACGTTGTACCCCATCCTCCGCTCATGAGCATCTGAGGGCCACTTAAAAAAAAAAAAAAAAAAGAGTTTATCTGGTAACCATCATCAAAATTTCCCCATGTTACAGTGCCAGTAGACTGAACTGGGGATAAGTGTAAATATATGTAAATGTTCTATGCGAGGAACTGGAGCTTACTGCTGAGGAGGAGTAGTTGGTCCTTGGTTGTAAGTATTCATGCCAAAGCTGCTGTTACTGCCAATCCCTGCGCCCTGCAGAACAGAAAGAGGCGGCGAGTGAGAGACCACACTTGTGTTTAAAGGGAGCCAACAGGCAAGGTCAAAGGGCAGAGGCGAGCGCTGATGCACTCCATTAAGTCCATTTGATGGATTCTTCATGTTTAACCTCTGGTGACATCCTGCTGGCCACCAGAACCACGGCAGCCCAGCAGCTTCCTGAACTGACATGTGCGCTCATGAATATCAGGGCAGACAATAGCGTTTTGGAGGGGGGGGGGGGGGAGTGCCATGGGTGTCGGGGCCAGACCACCTACCCCAATTCTCTCATCGATCAGCTGACGAGCTTTTTCCAACTGCTGAGGGGTGCCTCGGATGGAGAAGATGCGCACGTTGGGGTCAGTGTTCGGCGGTGGGTTTCTCTGTAGCTCCACGTGGGCACGAGACTGCTCTTTGATGTTTTTTATGGTTTCTCCACCTGGAAATTTATTTAAATTTGATATTAGTTTCAGTAGATTGACTGTGGAAAGTTTTACAAAAAGATGCTCAATCACGTGACATTATTCAAACCGTCAGATCAGTTTTCGCTGGAGCCATAAATTATTTTTTTAAGACATAAAACAATTAAAAATTGTTAAGTTAATAAACAGTCACAGAATCAGCTACAAGCCGTGTCATTTGCTCACTTTTATACCCCTCTTAGTTCAGAGTTCAGCATAGTTCAAGGGGTGTCCTTGAAGCCAGCTGAAGTCTCTTCATTTACACAAACACATGGTTCATGGGCAGAGACGGATCAAGTGTTTTGAGAGACGGATCAAGTGTTTTGGGCTCAGGGCAGAGGGGTGGAATACTCAGCCATAATAAAAACATCCATAACCATTGACCAAAAATTCCCAGACAGAAACACTGCTATAAACTGGTTGGGAGTGAATAATTCAGGCTGTGTAGTCACCTGTGGGTGGTGATTTAAGCTATGTTGGCTGATGGCATAATTGAGTAGAAGTAGTAGTTTGAATTGGGAATAAAGAAAATAAAAACAATACAATAGTTTTTCTTAGATGGCTATGATCTGTGTTGCATATAAAAGTAGATAAAAGTTGTTACCATCTGTCCTAATGCACATGAAGTCCGAATGACACACATCAGGGCGAGGTTAAATCAGAATACGACCGTTTTGCTTTACTTTTTAGTAATTGGATGATCAGGGGTTCCCAACCCTGGTCCTTGAGGAACACCATCCTGCACGATTTAGTTGCTTCTCTGCTCCAACACACCAGATTTGAATGAACATGTAATGAACGGGCTTCTGCAGAAATTGAGGAAGTAATTAAATCACTGAATCAGGTGTGTTGGAGCAGAGAAACAACTAAAACATGCAGGATGGTGTTCCTCAAGGACCAGGGTTGGGAAACAAATACTTTAAATATCTTTCCAACCTTCTAGCTGCTGAACAGGCAACGGCTTCTAAAACGAACTTCGGTCACATCTGAGACGAAGAAGGTAAACATCCCATAACTATAATCTGTTCTCTGAGTCCAAAACGTTGTATGGGACCTGGCTTCTCTTCGCTGCGTTGATTAAACTCACTAAATTCATGCGATAGTCGTACCTTTTGAAAAACCTGTTGTGTGTGTGTCATCTGCCATTCTCTTGTAACATCCATGCAAATCAGGATACAAAAGACAACATCTCCTGCCCACCCACCCCCTGCTCAGCATCCGATGCCAGTTTCCCCAACGTGCAAGAAGAGCAATTACATCAGCAGGGGGAGATAAAATGTAGACGGCGAGAAAAGAGACACAAAAATGAAGCGTATCCTCCTTTGGGGATATTATTTGTCTCTCACTTTTTCCCCCACTTCAGACTTTATGTTCTTATGAGAAAAGAGAATGAGGGAGGGGAGGGGTGCTTCCCGGGGGGGGGGGGGGGGGGGACACCGGGGCTGTCCCAACATCAATTACACATTTGTTCACTTGCGGCTGACACTGACGACCCTGGATGACCCACAAATGAAAACGCTCATCAGATTCTTCTCCTAGGGTAGCGTTCTCCTCGCTGCCAACAGGCTGCACATGGGCCATTAACCCATTGTCAACCAAATGAAACTTCTGCCTTAATGAAGCCATTATGATCTCTTCTGGTCAGACAGCAGAGAGCAATGAAGACCCCGACTATTCATTGCATGGAGGGGGCAGATAATACGGGCCTTATTAATGAGACTGGTTTAGTGAGCTGCACAAAAGTGCAACTGGTGACAGCATTCAATGCAAAGCTGAGGGACTGGTTAGCTGCTGGGCTGGAAAAAAAAAAAACTCTCTCAGGAATCAAAGAACAATTACATTGTTAGGAAGCTTAACATGACAATTCTCTGGCAACTCTTGTAAAAATAACTATGTATTTTTTCTTGCTAAATTGCAAGTGAGAATTTAATTAGTAAGGCTCTAAGCTTTCAAAAACATTCCTGCAAACACTTAAATGACAAAACATAGAAAATAAATAAATGCTAACCAAGATTTCAAAGAAGTTTGAGTAGGAAACGGTTAAAGTTTTTGTTGTTAAACAAATCCAGTGTTTAACTTTAAGGGAAAAAGGTGATACTTTTTTTTTTCTCCACTTAATTTTTTCCACCCAAAGCTGAAGACTTTCACAAGTGAGAAATTATTAAATAAACCAATGTTAATCAAAAAATAATGGTTTTAAAATTCTTTTGTTGTATTAAAATAAAAAAAAAAGGTACAAGCTACTTTTAACCACGCAATGCTTCAATAAAGCTTGTTCAAGTTTGTACTTTACAGATAAAATGTTTTGTCAAAGCAAAGTAGGAAAAACAACTTTACATTTTCATATATAACATTTTAATACAACTTACTAACACACTTTAATTTCCAACTAAATGCCATTACCAAGTATCTCCATCTGATTTGACAAAATCTTTAAGTTTCCCAATATTATAGAAAGATGATTTAACTGAAGTGCCATTCAGAGACATCTGGCAGTCATATTAAGGAGAGCAATTTTTTACTTTGGCCCAAACTGCCTTTAAGAAAGACCCAATAAGTGAATATCCAATTTAGGCCAAAATTCATAATTGTACGAGCAGGATCCTCGTTATGCCTCTCGCACTGAATTCATAGTCACAATAAAGTCCAAGCAGGCTGGTGGGTGGTTTGATTTATCAAGCTGTGTGTGACAGAGTGTGTGTGCGCGAGTAAAGGGTCAAAACCAAGGGGCAACCGGCTGCATATGGCATCGTAAAGATATTAATCACCGGATCCTTTAAGGGATGGCTGACAGCACCCAGACCCACCGCCATCTCCACCATATTGGCTCACTTCATATGCTAATGCAGAGAGCGAGGGACGCAACGCCCAGGTTTATTTGTTTCCCTTGCTCCATTACAAGCACAAAAGCCACTTGACATTTCTATTGCCATGTTTTTATCTTAGGTAAAGAGGCCCCCACTGCACCGCCCACCACTGCACATACGCACACACACACCAAGGCAACATGCATGCCATCATAGAACGCACACACACACAGCCCCTTCCAATGCAGTGGTCAATGACTTTTAAATAGCTGCCAATAGAGTGGGCATGAATAGCCAATAAGCTAATTCCTCTATTCATTCCCTCGCTGCACTCTATTGGACTGAAAGACCCTCATTAGATGCCAGGCAGCCTTCCACATGATTGAGGGCTGTTATTATGCACCTTTAACAATTAATGTCACATTACACGCATTATCCCCGTCATTAAGCCTTTAGTGAAGCCAATGAATACCACTTGTGCTGTATACATGAACCCTAGGGGAGAACAGGAGGGTGGTCACGTTCCCCCCCCGCTTCATCACATCAGTTTCACGTAGTGGCCAAACACCACATGGCGTTGAGTTTTTCAAAGAAAAGCAGCCGTCTGGCAAGTTGGATTTACTTTTAGTACGGCTGATCGTTTTGATGAACTGTTCCGTTTCTCAAAAAAAGCAAAAAAACACTTTGATAAATGTTTCAGAGTAAAATACGCAAGACAAATAAATAGACGAAGCTTACAAAGGTGATATTTGAATAAAGCATGTTTTCAACTCGCCAACAGGACAGAAATTAAAACATCTTTACCTTTGCCGATCACTAGGCCACACTTATCAGCAGGTACTGCATAGGTCACATCCTGCAGCCCCCCAGGTCCTCCCATGTTGGAGTCACCACGCCCTCGACGTCCCAAAACGCCACAAAATCCATCTCGCTCCTATAAGAGGTTAAAACTTTAGAGAAATGCCTAATTCTAACCCAAATGGTCACAATACATTTCCTTAATGTTTCATCTGCTCCCTTAAAGGCAGCATCTCACTGGGCTGCGACTGCTGACGAACAGCATTTGTGAAGGAGTCTCCAAAATGTTTGTGGGGGTTTTCAGTTATATTGTGCAAGTTGCACAGGTTCACTCTGATATCTGTAATCTGAATAGATTATCTCAAAATAACCGATTGTTGGAGGTATACTCAAACCCCTCTCAATTTTGTTGGGAGTCATTTAGAAACCTTCTCAAAAGCACTTAATTGTGTATTTTGACACCTGCATGGGAGCTCTGCTTATGGCAGAACATTTCTAAAACAACAAATACAAATATCCAGATCTTACAAAGATGATAAATACTTTTAGAAATACGTTCAAATTTACCCCCATTTCAAAATTTACTTTAGCCGCCAAGGCGGGTACAACGACGGCTGAGGGGGTACAATAAGAGTGGAGACCAGCAATGTGATGTCTTCACCTACAACAGAGTTGCAAGCCAGAGACACAAAAGCGAGACAATTCCCAGTCCCTAAGTTTAGTTGCCAACTACTTTCCAACAGATGCTACCTAGCAAGATATACCCTAACTACCAATTAATACTCACTGTACTTTCAAAAGTACATTAGATAAAAATCCAACATTAGCCCCAACATGTTGAGATGAAGCTGGTTTCAGTAGGAACGTTTACTCTAGTGGCCTGCCTCTAATTTCTTGTTTAAAAACAAACAACGAAGCAATCCTGTTTTTAACAAAACAGCAGAACTTACCTGAGCGGTCTGCACCAGTTCGTTGATGAGGTGAGCTGCGTGATGGCAGTGGTCAGACTGGCCCATCACCTGAGCAACACGGTCAGGACTGACTCCATCATCTGAACAAAATAACACATAATCCACTTTAAACCCCGAGGGGATTTAAAAACAACCCTTGAATTGAGAAAACGTCTGATTTTGTTTTCCCTAAAACTAAAAATTGAAGGTCAATAGATAACCTATGAAATAGAAAATAAACTAAAAGCTGTACTGTACTTGGGCAACAAAATATTTCACCAACCAAAATGTATATTGACATCTATAAGAGGTTTAGGGAGCTTTATGTGCATGAAATAAACATTATAATTACATAAATCTGAAGAAAAACAGAATTACGCAACTAAACAGAGCTCGTTATCATCACTAGGCCTGTCGAATATAAACAATAAATCAATTAATCGCACGATAAATGAAAATTATCAACTTCATTTTCATTTATCAACTATCGTTTTTTTCGTGTCGCTCTCTTTCTATTGAAGACACTGGATGACAAAAAGCTCAACTTCTGTGCTCTTCATCGACCCCTCCCTTTCTCTTATCTTTAAAATCCATTTTAACCGCCCAAAATCACGTTTTTGAATTGTTAAAAGCAGCTAAACTACAAGCTAAGCCAACAGGCCGACCTCGGATGTGTGTGTGTGTGTGGTGGGGACCTCCGTCTTGTTGAAGCTCCAAAATTCACAATTGAAACTTGTGTCTTCATGTAAAGTTTTTCTCTGCAAAAGGAAGCTGAAAACGTGTTCACTGATTTTTTTATTAAAAGCTTTGTGTGAAAAATGCTATGCTAAAGAGCTCAAACCACAACGAGTGGCCGCCATTTTGAGAACCAAAGAGACGCTCATGTCACGTCAAGGGAACTCCCTCCCATTTTTCTTACAGAGACACGCTGCTCGCTCCCTCACTATCCACCCTTCGGTTCAAACAGTCTTATACTGCCATCCAGTGGTCAAAAAAGGTACCACATGCAAAACAAATTAAACATTTCTTCTTAAATTTGACAGTAATTATGAATTATTGTCAAATTTCAAACAATATCGTTTATCGCAATAATTTCTGAGACAATTAATCGACCTGCAAAATTTGTTATCGTGACAGGCCTAATCGTCACCTTGTTTGAACTGGATCCTGACACCAGCATCATTCTGAATCTTCTTGATCATCTCTCCATTCCTGCCTATGATGATACCAACCGCAAATCTGGGCACAACCACCTGAAAATAAAAAAATATATTTTTTAATATTTATAAAAGGGGAATACATTTGGCTTTTTAGGATTTGATAAGATAATTTGAATCGTACATCCATACTACTTCCACCCATTTTGGAGCCAAAATCTGCCCTGCCGACCCTGAAGTCTCCTTGGTCTTTGTCCCGTATGAGTTTCACCACAAGTTCACGAGCTTGCTAGAAGGAAAATTGATAAGCATAGTAAAAATTTGGACTTTACACATAATGCTTAATATCAACCAAAACAAAACTGCATGTTTTTCGATGTCTTCCTAGGACATAAAATGTGTAAATTGAGAACAAAAAGGAGAAATAGCAGCATACAGTGAGCTGTTCTGAAACTGACCTGCACTTTGTGGGGATCTCCCGTGATTCTGAGGGGCTTGTCTGCTCCTGTGGGCATGGGGTCATCCTGAATCATCATCATCTGCACTCCTGTTCTCTCCTGCAGGAGTACAATCAGACAGGAACACAAACCACCAGTTACCTGGGGCCTAAACACTATTCACTCAGAAATGACAGAAATTCTGTGATATAACACAGTTGAGCAATACAAACAAAACAAGTGGCTGTATATAAGAAAAACAGGCAGACAAACAAGAAAATCAACTTACAATTGTGTCTATTTCAGTAAACAAAAACACGTCCATATTGTGGTGAGTACACATTTTACTGCAGTCTACAACGCTCAAAAATGATAGTGAATGCAGTATCACGATGATAAGAATGATGGCAGGCTGTAAACAGTATGACAATTTTAATGTGCTTTAAGTGCTCAGCCTACTAGCAGACCTGCAGTTGCTTGATGGTCTCTCCACCCTTGCCGATGACCAGGCCGACTTTGTTTGCGGGGATGAGGATCTGTTGGATGGAACTGTTGCCGTCCATGTCGTTGTGGAAGCCTGGACCGTACCGACACTGCTCCACAATCTCACTCAGCAGCCTTTTCGCCTGCCTGTGGAGAGGAGCAAACCGCAGCGAAGGCATTTGTCACCACATTTACTCCATTAAGTCTCATTTCACCGTTTCAGAAGAGAAACCTCTGTTACGGTACTTCAGACACTGATCCTGATATGCAAACTGAACTTTTGAGATTGTGTGTGAGATCTCAATTATAAGGAACTTTCGTAATGTTCTCTGGTGCTTCTTTGAGTTTGTCACAAATGCTGCTACTCACTCAATGTTTTCTGGGCTCCCGGTCAGCGTGCACGGTCTGTCCAACATGCCTCCGCTGTCTGTGACGAAACAGAACTTTAAGAAACTGTATATTATCCTCACAGGAGCAACATCTCAACAACTTCAATCTAAACTGACTCATTTTAGAAAAAGACCCACAGAAACCTTAGAAAATAGAAATACCCATAGAAAATCTATGTAAAAATGAATCCCATACAAAAACTGCACGCGCAAAGGGCTTCAAATACATGTAATATGCACTTTGGCTTGTATTCAACCTGTTTTTAAGTGTCATGCATTGCATGTTGTGATAACAGAAAAACAGACCGTTTACTCCAGAATAAGGGTTTAGGTTTGGAACTCTTTACAAATATTCAAGTGCAGTTTGATATACAAGTAGTAATGCTTTATATAGACAAACAAGGATAAGTAGTTTGGGATGATTATTTCTGTATTATTCTTATTTGTTAGGAATTTGTTATGCAAAATTTGCAGTGGTATACGAGAGCCAACCACTAAAATTCACTGCATCATGAAAAAAAGCACACACCCGAAGGCCTCACTACTCATACCTCCATTTAGATCAAGAAAAATAAAATGTTGCTAAAATTTGGATGAGTAGCTACAGTGAAAGAATGCTGATTAAATGCTGCAGTTGAGATTGATTTTTGCCTATTTCTTACTACTTACCAGAGGCAATCTGGATCTTACAACCCGATTCTTGCTGTATTCTTGAGATCTGTTCTCCTCCTTTTCCAATAACTACAAAAATGAGCGCAACATTTTTAAAGGCGTTTTAAAATTAAACAGATATAGTTGTGCTTCGAAGTTTACATACACTGGCGGAATTTGAGACTTTTTGGACATATTTCAAAGAATATGAATGATAAAACTTCTTTCCCTCATGGTTATGGGGGCCGAAATGGGGTAGAGGTAGGGCAGCTGACCTGGGACTTTCGATCCCAGACATTCCCACATGTCGTGGTGTGTCTGAGCAAGACACCCAATCCCTAATTGCTCCCCGGGCAGCTTACATAGCTGCCCACTGCTCCACCTGCATGTATCACAGGTGTGATGGGTTAAATGCAGAGAACCAATCTCACCAGGAACATACAATGATGACAACACATAGTGCTTATTACGGTTAGTGTTTGGGTGAAGCCATTTATTATGAAACAATTGTGACAACCGAAAATAAATGACCCTAATCAAAAATTTACATACCTTAGTTCTTAATATCGTGTCTTGTCTCCCTTAGCATCAGTGACAGATTCAAGTCTTTTGTGATAGTTGTGGATGACTATTTTCTCACATGGTGAAGTTGCCAATTCTTCTCAGCAAAATAAGCACCGTATTTTCCGCTGCAAACGTCACACTGCCCTATAAGTCGCATCAGTCCAAATATGTCTAATAAAGTCGAAAAATCCATAAGTACGTCGCTTCACAGTATAAGTCGCATCATTATGCATCACCACTGATGCATCGCGTTTGTTATGCGTCACCACTGACAACTCGGAAATGTGGGCCGGTGTTGTGCCAAAAATTGATTGGCTGCAAATGGTGGACGTGGGAGCGTGCATGCAAGGACTTTAACAAGAATTTAAAACAATTATTTGTTTGCTCGACTTTATAGTAAAAGGTATGTCTCAGTTGAACTTTTACTTAATAAATGCACTTTAATGGTCAAATTAGCTGCATTTTGCCAGGGCGGTGCAGCGAAATGAAGTTGATTTGACGATTGCTCCAAGTGAGCTGGACAAAGGTGGCAGCCTATGGCAAGTCGACTGTGTCATTAATAGCTACTTTTACCTATTACATGACACAACGATATGCTCTACTACTCTGGTGCCATCTAGCGGCTGAAAAATAGTAGTGGTCAATATTATTTTCAGTCAGAATGAATGTAAAAAAAAAAGTCATCTCTCAGCCAAAAATTGGTTTATAAATATATAAAAAAATATCCATAAATACGTCACTTTGGAGGCAGCACGGTGGCACAACTGGTAGAGCTGCTGCCTCTCAGCACGCAGGTCCTCTGTTCAAATCCCGGTCCAGGGGCCTTTCTGGGTGGAGTTTGCATGTTCTCTCCGCGCATGCGTGGTTTTCTCCGGGTACTCTGGTTTCCTCCCACAGACCATGTTAGACATGCATGTTAGGCTGATTGGTAACTCTAAATTGTCCCTAGGTGTGAGTGAGAGAGTGAATGGTTGTTTGTCTCCTTTGTCTGTGTCCCTGTGATGGACTTGCGATCTGTCCAGGGTGTACCCTGCCCCTCGCACAATGACTGCCGGACATGGGCACCGGCAACCCCCGTGACCCAAAATGGAAGAAGCGGGTAAAGATAATGGAAGGATGGACGTCACTTTGGCGTATAAGTCGCAGTGCATGCAAATTTTGAAAAAAAAACAAACAAAAAAAAACATGACTTATACAGCGATAAATATGGTAAGTAAAGTGCTATGTGTTGTCATCACTGCATGTTCCCATACAATGGTGAAATTGGTTCTCTGCATTTAACCCATTACACCTGGGATATACCCAGGTGGAGCAGTGGGCAGCTTTGCAAGCGCCCGGGGAGCAATTAGGGAATGGGTGTCTTGCTCAGAGACACCATGACATGTGGGAATGGCTTAAGGTCAAATCTGGGACTTTCAGGTCCAGAGTTGGCTGCCCTACCTCTACCTCATCTTGGCCCCCAAATGTCTCCAGTTCCTGTAAACTCTTGGGTTATATTGCATGAAGTGCACATTTAAAATTGCCCCAAAGCTGCTCAATAATGCAGAGGTCAGGAAACTGGACATTCCAGAAACTTCACTTTTTTTCCTGCTGTAGCCACCAACATGTTCGGGTTGCTGTTTAATATACCATATTATACATTATAAGTGTTTAGGGAATATCTTAGATCTTTTAGAGTATCATTTATCGTATATCTTAGTGTATGTTAGATCCTTATATATCGTTTTTTTCTATACTTTATATTTTTGCTATTTTTGGGTGTAACTGGGACTATGAGTACACAATTTTGTTCCACCTCATGTACCACATGTGATGCAAATGACAACGAATCTTGAACATGTTGACTTGGCCTTGTGTTTTGGATCATAGTCATGTTGGAAAGTTCAAGAGCATCCCATGCTCAGCTTCCGAGCTGATGTGAACAAATGTGCCTGTGTAACTGGCATCCCAAAACATCAGTGATCCACCTCTGTGTTTCAGAGTAGGGATGGTGCACTTTTCATCATGAGCATTGTTGACTCCTCTCCAAATGTAGCGCTTATGGTTTGGACTTAAAATTTGGTCTCATCACTCCAAATAACTTTGTTCCAGAGTCATTTGTGGGATTTTCTTTGCATTCAGAACAACTCTCCTGGCAGTTGTGGCTGAAACGTGCTGGTCTACCCGACTGTGCCTTTGTTTCTACAGAATCCCTCATTTCCACTTTTTAATTAGGGTCTGAACACTGCTGACTGGCATTCTAAATGCTTGGATAAGTTTTTATATCCTTTTCCTGTTTTATAAAGTTCAACTAGCTTCTCCCATTATATATATAT